CCATACAGTCAAAAACTTAAAAATTTAGGGATCTATATGGATAGGTACTTAACCTGGGGCCCTCAGATTGAAGAAGTTAGCCGCAAACTATTTGCAGCATCAGGATCTCTGCGAAGGCTGCGGAACTTCCTGCCCACTTATACCAAAATTGCGCTCGCACAGTCTCTTCTTCCCATCCTTGACTATGGCGATGTTAGCTATCTGGATCTCGCCGAAGACCAACTAAATAAACTTGAGCTACTCCAAAACCTCTGTATTTGATTCATATTTGGATTACGCAAATATGATCACATGTCAGAGTTCTAAACTGAAGTGGCTACCAATACGCTTTCGCCGGCATCTTCATATTTTTTCTCTTTTATACAGTGTTCTGTTTCATCCCCACAACCCACACACACACCCAAAGCACCTTTTCAGTTCTTACACAACACACTTTGCAGGAACCTAGTCACATAGCAGGGTAGTTACATAGACTTATACCACTCTCTTTTGTGCTTCGATTTTCAATAAAATATAAAACATGAAACAATTGATTACTGATTATGATAAAGAACAAAGGACCAAATAAAGTTGCTCTCAATTTTCTCTAACTACCCACGTGGGAAAACAACATGGCTGCTTTTATTCCAAACACTACCAAAATACCGTCACAATTTACATACACTTCATATAGAATTTTAAACAGGTCAAAAATGATTTTCGACACCCAGGATATTTCGCAAATAGATCATGAATATATCGTCTGTTCTGATTCATTTCTTCAAGTCCGGGACATTCGTCCAGTGTCTCATTTGAATTTCCAAATATCACACAGTGTTTCGGCTAAAGACCTCCGCGACGTAAGAAACTGAAGGAAATATGAATGAATATATTCATTTATATGTGATGGTCCCGTAGGGAAACACTTAGGAACTATAATTATTGATGTGCAACATTTTTTTTCGATTTCTTGCAATCTGTAGGAGTGATTTCGTGATAAGGGACGGAAGTGTGTAACAGGAAGCGGAGAAAGCGCGCGCTATTTGATTGCCAATGAGCGCGCGCGGTGCTAAAGTTGTCCGTCAGATGATAGGTGAGATATCTGATGTTACACACCATACGCGACCATTGCAATGCGTGCTCGTTTTTTTTCAGTACTTCTAAATATTTGAATTAACTGTTCTGCCTCCCTTATAACAACTGTTCCTGATTTTTAAAATAGTAAATTGAAGTCTTAGTTTTACATCATAATTTTTAATGCAAAACGCAAGACGCCATGACAGTACGTCTTCCCGCCAATAAACAATTAAGTGAATTGTAAATTGTGTTGTTTATTTTAAATATTTTATTCTCTTGTATTGTATTTTACTTCAGATTGCTGAGTCAAGTTTATTTCTCGTCCCACCCAATGTCGTTTGACCTAGTAACTCCTAAACCGCTGCATATCAGTCATGTAGATTACACATATTGCGTCAGCTCTCAAATAAAAGAAGAAAAAGAAACAAATACTGTACTATTACTCACGGTACCCTGAAAAAAGTGTCCAATTTGTCAATGGCCGCTTCGCATCTGCGATTCTAATCTGTTGTCCCAGTTTCTATGTAAATCCTTAGTTTACCATTGCTAAACACTTGCTGACGACGAACGGTGACTATTTTTTTTACACAACACACGCAATCTACCTGGGAGGTTATTTTTTTTAATTTCGTCATAAATACTCTAAGGTAAGATCTATTAATTTTTAATGACAGTCTTTTGTCTTTTAAATTATATATTTCTTCGATTGTTTTTTTTGAGTGCCAGTGTTGAATTCTTATTCTTGTTGACGTTTAAAAATAGATGTCCAATGATTTTATGTTTTTTTTTAATTTAAACCGTTGGCAAAAAACACACAGGTAAAATATGAGGGTAGGTGCGAACAAACAATTCTTTCTTCACCTTTATAAACCAAAAACGCGCACAGAAACATATATCATATTTGAAATAAGTAATAAATTTATATGTAGAAGAACACAAAGCTAACATTTATAAACAACATGGGCGATAAAGTCAAAAATTACGTAAAAACGGCTCCATAACACTATGGCGATCCAGTATAATTACTAATGTTGTCATGTCATGGTACATCGTATATAACGACATTTCAAGGTTGTTCAAGACAGTGATATAATAATAATAATATTATAATAATATTGTACCACATTTACACAACGCCATCTAGTTTCAAACTAAGCAGAGCTTGTACAATGAAAGCTAGATTAACTGATAGAAAATAAAAACAAGACAGTCATTCTTCTTGGTGTATCTCTTAAGATTGGGAACTTATTATAATGAAAATAAAATAGAGATGTATCAAGTAATCCTCACAGTGCAACTGCTGTGGCTTCTTGTACATTTGCACCTTAACTGTAGATCATCTAATATGATATTAATCAGAAGTATAATAAAAATAGCCTCACACATCTCACACACGGCCGGCTCATCCCAAACTTTGTTTTAAAACACAAATCCAGCAGTAGGAATATATCCTGTGTCGCGGGGGACTTTACAAACATACATGAAACGGAAACAAAGAACACCCAGACTCAGAACAACAGTTTGTGAATCACACAAAGCGTTATTCGATGTGGGGATCGAACACTCAGCGCGGTAGGAAGCGGTGAGGTGACCGCTTAAACCACTACCCCATCCGTGCAGTCAAACTAGGTCGAGCAGGTACTATGATAACCAGACCGCTGATAAAAATCTTCGCTCCACTGGCTTAGCAGTAAGAATCACGAACAAACACACCAACAGGCCAGTCAATTTGAGGAGTTGGAACTTTCATGAAGCCACTTTAAGCAAGAGACAAAATAGGTGACACTACTGTCATAAAGAAGATGGTGTAAGAAATGCCTACTCTAAAAATATAAATAAATAAATATAAAGCTTTCGGACGTCTGACATACAACGCCATCTAGTTTCAAACTAAGCAGAGCTTGTACTATGAAAGCTAGATTGATTGATAGAATACTAATATCCTTTTTTTTCCAAATACATAGAAATTATACATAGATAATACCCGAAATCCGAAACAAACATTAGCAGATCATAGAAACGTTTGGTCCGACCCGGGAATCCAACTCCAGACCTCAGCACAGCAGTTCCATACGCTACCAAAAATAAAAAATAAAGTATCTAATATATGTATGTAATCGCCGAAATGTATGTACGCGCATAACTTCCGAACGACTACACTAAATTGTTTTTTTTTGTGTTCGTTATTGTCAGGAAAAGGTTTGTATGAAAAACATTTAAAGAAGCCCTTTTATCGAGGAAAGATATAGGCTATACACACAACATTATGTTACGACCAAGATGTTGCGAGAAAGGGGAAGGTTTATTCCTTTTTTTTTTTGAAAGAAGCAGACGCACGGTTCAGCTAGCATCTTAATAAAAAACAGCGTTTGGTACTGTTATCTTAAAATATCATTTAAATAAAATTTCACTACCATTTGAATGTAAAATTTACCCGAACCACATCAAGACTTCCTTGTTGAAATTTATTTAAATGTCCCTCCCTTTGAGGCGAATTTACAAATTTTACGGTGTCCACCAATTTACTTCTGATTAATTTCGTTGCGGTTTCCAAGCCAGTTTAACTTTTCCAGGGACTTCACGGGTGTCGTTACTCGGTGTGTTCATGCGTCACTGCTGTTGATCCTGGCGTACAGGAGTTCCATTAGTGGGCGTTTGGAAGGGATTAGTCCGGAGTGCGACGGAGATCTGTGATGAGCATCATCATCATCAGCCTATCGCAGTCCACTGCTGAATTTTTCTGTGATAATAACAAACATAAAATAAGTACAAAGTAATGGAGTACCTCCTCGTTTTTTTTAAGTTGATTAATAATAATAATAACCTTAGACATCTCACACGCCATTATATTATTCACTTGCAACACATAATGCATTATATATTATAATGAAAAACAAAAATGACTTGTCATTGACGCTAAAAACGGACCAATGGCGTATTGCCGTTTTGTAATTCAAATTTGGAACCGATTTAAATGCGAGCCGCCAATAGGTCAGAGGGGAATGTATTGCCATCGTAAGCTGTTTACGCCACTATGTTAAACGCCCAATGTGAATAATCTGGTCTCTCTGACTCGTTTTATGAGACTTTTCCTGTCATTCGAAATTCAAAATTGGATATAAACGTTTTTAATTTAAATAAGGAATTGCTGATGCGAGTGTTCATTATCGATTGTGTTGATAAATGAGTCTACACAAGACGATTAGAAAAAAAATATGTTTTTTAGAACGAATTAATTTTAAAAAGAAATAATTAATTTTGAATTCAATTATTCCTTTTTTTCATTACCTACGTACTTTGATTTTTTGTTCATTCTACCCTTTCCCTGGCACTAACTTCGACAGCACGGTCCTAGTGGTTTAAGCGGTCGCCACGCTGCTTACTATTACGTTGAGTGTTGTGGGTCCGATCCCTACAATTTTTTTTATGTTTGAGCGGGCAGACGAGCAGATGGGTCACCTGATGGAAAGTGACCATAGCCGCACATGAATGTCTGCAACTCAGGCGTCACAAACGCGTTGCCGGCATTTTAGGAAGGAGTATGCTCTTAAGACGACACTTCCGCACTATGTGATCCACAAATTGTTGTTCTGAGTCTGGATGTTTTCGTGTATGTTTGTAGGTTGCCTATAAGAGATTGCCTCTGAGCGATAAGGCCGCCATTTGTACCTGTCTAACCTAGCTTAAGTTAATCTTTATATATTTATACCTGGTGTACAATAAAGAGATTTATTATTATTAAAGTCGATATATTCCGAATGCAGAAGCTGCCATTTTAAAAAAGAAAAATTGTATACCACACACTAATGCTAATGTATATCGTCTCTATACCTGGTAGCAGTACTATCAGAAGATTCCAATTCAACTAAAAATCTCCCTCTCCATATGTCCACGAATGGTGTAAAAACAACATACCTGACTAAAACATTGATTTTTTGTTGCAGACTGTATCTCTCAAGAAACTGGTCGACGAATTGAAAGCTACTTTACAGTCTGAGGTAAGTTTATATTTTATACTAGCTGACCCGCGCAACTTCGTCTGCGTCTCTCAATAGTAATAAATTTTCTCCGTTTTCAAAACATTCTTCATTGGTGCTCCGCTCCTATTGGTCTTAGCGTGATGATATATAGCCTATAGCCTTCCTCGATAAATGGGCTATCTAACACTGAAATAATTTTTCAAATCGGACCAGTAGTTTCTGAGATTAGCGCGTTCAAACAAACAAACAAACAAACTCTTCAGCTTTATAATATTAGTATAGATTATTACTGGCTTGCCCTCGGCTTCGCTTCCTTTAACGGTGGTGCTGTCAACAGTGCCGGCTAAGGCCCTCTTTCGTAATAAAAGTTATGGCTATATTGATTTGAAAAAAAAACATCTTTAGTTGAAATAAGTAGGTAGTTCTGGTCTGCGGTATTTGCGGACACATACGACCTTCAAACATTCAAGAAAAGACTCTCCTACTAACTACTCCTTCCTAAAGGCCCGGCAACGCGTCTGTGACTTCAGAGTTGCAGGCGTTTATGGGCGGCGGTAGTCACCTTCCATAAAAAAGGTACTTTTTTTACGGTCAGAAAGCGTGTGTACGCGGGGCCCGTAGCATTTGCTACTCTTGCTGCGTCTCTAATCCGCCACAGGCTGTCAATCGATTTTTCCTTGCGTGGTAAGCGTGGTATAGTCGGCCAAAACCTCTTCTAAGGAGAGGCCTATGTCCAACAGTTTTAAAGGCTGTTGATGATGATGATGATTTACATTTGAGATGTCAAAAAAGTCTTTTATTGACTTAAGACAGTTTTGAAATAGGTAGTGACAGCAAATCTATATCTATAAAAATAAATAAAATTGAAGTGTCTGTTTGTAATGTCAAAATAATAAGGTTTTTTTCAAGCTCACACGTTTATTTGCACGATACCTAACATGCCTAAAAATCATCAGTTTAAATATTTTTTGTCTGTCTGTCTGTTTGTACCGGTAATGTTCAAAATGGCTGAACTCTTTTGATAATATTTTACTACCATGTAGCTGTCTATATAAGGAGTAACTAAGGCTATTTTTTCCTCCTAGAAAAAACCCTATGAAATGTTGCTAGGTCCGCGAATCGCGGCGCTTTTCAAATTCCACGCGAGCGAAGTCGCGGACACAAGCTAGTAAGACATATATTCATACTAATTAGTGACCCTGACTGCTAAATCGGAGGTCGTGGGTTCTCTTCCCACCCAGGACAAATAATTGTGTGATGAGCATGATCATTTGTTCTGTGTCTGGGTGTAATTTATCTATAATATGTATGTATTTAGAAATATATAAGTATGTTTATCAGCAGTCTGGTTACCATTGTACAGGCTCTGCCTAGTTTGGGATCAGACGGCCGCGTTTGAGATGTGTGAAATGATTATTATTATTATTTCCTTTATTAATACTGGGTTCAATATAAAATGAATTATTAAAATCGGACTAAAAGGTTTTCTGCTGTGTGAGAGCCATGCTTCGGGCCAGGCCTCGAGATATACCATGGCCTCTTAGAAAACCGGTGTTTTATTGATTTTCATTGAGTGACTCTTGAGATGTAGGTGCCCATGGTAGTCACTTACCATCAGATCACCGATCTGCTTTTTTACCCTCTTCTTCTTCTTCAGAAGAGAAAAAAAGTTCTGGAATAAAGACTCCGTCTGTAGTGTTTTAGCAGTTATCGGTCATGCAGGCAATGTTATAATAATATACTGAAAGCTAGACAATATTTAATTTTGTTATTTGACTGTGTTAATACAATAGAAACATTTTTTTTCTACATCCGTCTCTCTCTAACATTACGCTGGATGTGAACCTTACGACCTAAGACACATTACAATGGGGCCTTCCTTTACATAAATATATATTTTATAAATTAACATTCATTTAGGGCCATTAACATTTACTGTTTCCTGAGACCCCTGGTGATTTCTGAACTAATAACGGCGATTGTAAACAGCATAATGCATGGCTCTTTAATTTGAAACGACGGGAAGTGACAATATCCAGAAACTATTATAATAATATGCTTATTATTGAAAAATAAATATAAAATCTCGGACTGCATAAAATTAACAAACCAGCGATTTTAATTTTTATAATTTTCCAGATCTATACAAATAAATAAAATTGGAGTGTCTGTTTGTAATATTAAAATAACCGCTTGTTACTAAATGCATATGCATGTTTACACGGTACATATGCCGCAGTTTTTACAATTTTTGTCTGTCTGTCTGTTTGTTCCGGGTAATCTCTGGAACGGCTGGACCGATTTCGACGGGACTTTCACTGGCAGATAGGTGATGACATAAGGAGTAACTTAGGCTACTTTTTTTAGACTAGCTTCGCCACGCGGCGTTGCCCGCGGTTATAACAACAAACGCGGGTAACACCGCGGGTCTCAGCTAGTCCATTAATATACTTCAAATTTTCTCATGTATGTGTTTCATTTCAACCAATCATCTTGAATAGTCCACTGCTGGACATAGGCCTTCGAACGAAAGTTTGAGCCTACTATACTACGCTGGCCAGACGGTTTGGTGTAAGATTTGTCAAGGTTTCCTTCTCTTTGCAGTGCTGCGTAGGTATCATATTTATTGCACGGATGACGTAGTGGTTTAAGCGGTCGCCACGCTGCTTACTACTGCGCTGAGTGTTGTGGGTTTGATCCCCACATGGGACGACACTTTGTGTGAGCCACAAAATGTTGTCCTGAGTCTGGGTGTTCTTTGTGTCCGTTTCATGTATATTTGTAAAGTCCCCCGCGACACAGGATATATTCCTAGTGCGGGAGTAGTCTTTAATTATTTTTTCCTAAAGTACCAATTTATTGGTAATAGACATTCCAGTTACAGCAGTGGGACCAAATGATATCATGCAAAACGAGTGTTTAATACGCTTTTGTATATACCCCTTTGGAGATAAAGGCGTGAATGTGGAAGAGAAAGAGAAGCAGTTTGCGTTCAGTCTTCAAAGGGTCACGGTTTTGACTTAACAGAGATCTTGTCATAGAGTTATATAGTTTGTTAGTATGATTGAACATAAACTATTACAATTTATATTATACTAGCTGTTGGCCACGACTCTGCTCGCTTGTTTGTCGGTTATGGCGGTAAACAGTAGCCTATGTTACTCGCTTATAATGTAGCTTTCCATTGGTAAAAGAACTTTTAAAATCTGTTAAGTGGTATAAACATTAAATTATTCCACTTATCTGTCGAAATATATAAATTATAATCTATACTAATATTATAAAGCTGAAGAGTTTGTTTGTTTGTTTGTTTGTTTGAACGCGCTAATCTCAGGAACTACTGGTCCGATTTGAAAAATTCTTTCAGTGTTATATAGCCCATTCATCGAGGAAGGCTATAGGCTATATATCATCACGCTAAGACCAATAGGAGCGGAGCACCAATGAAGAATGTTTCAAAAACGGAGAAAATTTATTACTATTGAGAGACACAGACGAAGTTGCGCGGGTCAGCTAGTCATGTATATATGTATATAAAAATGTTAAGTTGGTTTGTGTACGCTTCAAAAACTCAAAAAGTTCTGCACCGTTTGAGCTGAAATATTATACAGCTCGCTTCAAGGATTGTTTTTATCTGTTTTTCGGGTTAGTTTGTTTGTCATTTTTTATAGATTCGATCAGAATGTGCCACAACGAAGCTTGGCAGGGTGCGATCTATATCAACTGTTGGACACAGACCTCTCCCATTGCACGCCACTTGGATCAATTGTCGGCTTCTCGCATCCAATTCCTGTCAGCCATCCTGCATAAATTATCAGTACAATTGGTAATTAAAATAAATTCCAAATACGATGTTCTTCTGTGTACCATATTTGTTTAATAAGGGATGAAAGGATTTTTTTCACGTGTTAATATAATATAGATGCACTAGACATGTGACGTATTAAACAAAAAATCTTTCCACTTTACTTAGTAGTATTGTTCTATTAAAATTTGTGTGGTGTATTACAGTTGCTATGAGTCAGAATATCTCTTATACAATATTCATTGCAGCTTTGATCTCTAAACACTTCATCTATATAAATAAATAAAATTATAGTGTCTGTTTGTAATGTCAAAATAATAGGTGATTTTCATGCTCACACGGTTATTTGCTTACCTATGCCTGAAAACCAGTTAAAATATTTTTTGTCTGTCTGTTTGTTCCGTGTATCTTCAACATGGCGGTACCGATTTCGATAATAATTTACTACCAGGCAGCTGTCTACGTGAGGTACTCCTTACATAGACAGCTGCCTGGCTATTAGGCTTTTTTCTCTCTCAGAAAAACCCTATAAAATTTTGCCCGGTCCGGGCCTCATCGAACCCGAGGCCCCGTAGACTGCAGTCGCGTATCGTAATACACCACTAAGGCAGCGCCTTTCAAATTCCAAGCGAACGAAGTCCCGGGTGCCAATTAGTGTTACATAAAATAGAACATATAATATTTATGTAAAAAATGTTGGAGTATCTATCTGTAGATAAAAGTATTGATCGCGAAACCAAAAGGGTTGATAACCCACTCCATATATAAGCTTTGATAAGCTGGAAGTAGCTTTGTTTCAAACTGTTCCCGGGGCCAGAAGGCTGCCAGGTCCTGTCAGGTACGTCAATAACAATTTTATAATCTTTAGGACTTAATATATATTTCAATTTGTTTATTTGGATTTTTTTCAAGCAGTTTCTATTTTACCTACCTACCTTTTTAACTTTTTTAGCGATCAGCAGTATAATATAGGTGGGTAGAGGTATAATTAACTCCTACATTTTGCTGACTAGTTTTAGTCCCATTCACGTAATTTAAAAAAAAAGAATTGGAAGTGTAATATAAACAAAGTTCAGTAATGTTCGCATAATGTTTGTTGTCGGGTTACGTTGGACGTCGCCTAAATAGAGAATGTACCTGAAGGTGGTGCCCGCATCGTTGCGGGCAGGCGCTGGGAGGGGTCCGGAGGTCCTAATAACAGCAGTTCCCGGATCCCTCCTATTACAGGCGCAGAGTGGCACACCGTGTAGTTTTAGTCGGTCCGACACACCACCCCGCCGTAAACCCCGGTGGAGGGGGTTTCCACACGTTAAAAAAAAAGGCCCTAAAAAATACACCCTAAGCCTTAGGGTGTCTTTTTTTCATCGTAAGTTACCTAACCCGAGATAAAGGTAAATTTATATGTCAGAATCTAACTGACTAAATCCGGGTATGCCATAAGGACTCCGGGAATACCTGCAGACGTTAACCGCCACTGGGTCAGAAGACGCCCACACGGAGGTAGCTTAGGTTCATATACCACCACACAATCAACTAGGTGATTAATTTTTATCCTGTTTATTTGTCTATGATATATGTTAAAGAATATTTTTATTGTATGGTTATTGTAGCCATATCGTATTGCCTTCCTATTCTTAATATGTTTGAATCCATATCTCTAGTAAACTGAAGAGTTTGTTTGTTTGGTTGAATGCGCTAATCTCTGGCACTACTGTTTCGAATTGTGTTGGATATCCCATTTATCGAGGAAAATTTAATATTATGCTACGACCAATAGACCAATACTAAAAAATGTTCCAAAAACTGGAAAAATTATTCCTTTAGAGAGACGCGGAGGAAGCCAAGTCAAAGTAGGGTCAACTAGCCAATTTACAAATTCAAAAACTCTTCAAATCTTTAACTTTTGCATTAAGTAATACCTTGTAATAATTGATGTTAAGTGTACCTGCTTAGCCACCTAAGTAATCAGTCCTTTAAACTATCACAGTTTAAAGGACTCATTGTCAAAGGTCTTTAAGTTCCTTTGATTGTAAAACTATGCAAATGCATTGCATAATGTTGTACAGAACGTTTAATACACTCAATGCGCGTGCGCATGTTACATTCTACTTGATTTGCATTTTGTCAAGTTGTCACTGGTGAAACGTTCATCAATGGGTAATTAAAATGCGGTGAAAACGGTTATTTAATTAAAAATATATTTAGAAAACGTTCTCAAACTTTTGAAAATATGAAAAGAGCCTCTTTTTGATAGTTCAGTAGTGGTTGTAGGCTTTCATCAAAAGCATTTAGGAAAACCCGAGAAAAAAATGTATGATGTTAGATAAAACTGTGAAAATTTTGTTTTTAAAAAGATCTTCGTATAATTTTTCTAAATAGCAAGCTGAAACTGCTATGCAGCCCAATGAAAACTCCCGCAAATAAAAATTAAAATAACTACGAGTAACGTTTCCTCCGGCGACTAGTATCAAGATTTGATATAAAACCAGGTTCATCATCATCAACAGCCTTTAAAAGTCTATTGCTGGACATAGGCCTCTCCCTAAAAAGGAGGTTTTGGCCTTATATACCAAGCATGCCAGACGGGTTGGTATAGGGTTTGTTTCAAGTTTTCCTTCTCTCTGCAGTGCTGTTGTCCTGCGTAGTTCGCTCCCTTAGTCGGCTCTTACGACACCCAAGGGATGAATAGTGGTGGTGACACTGTATTCTTAACCAAGTTACTATATTATAATATACTACTAACCATGTACAACGTACAAATGTCTGTTTGTCGAAAAACACTTGTCCAAATATACAAAATATTGTCCCAGTTTCTTTCTTACTTGTAATTATTGGAAATTTCGACGTTAGTGGTTATTGAATCTGACTGCTAATCC